TTTAATTTATTTACCACCATGAGATTAACAACGCGCGCACCTATTCATAGTCCCGCACTAGGGAAACCCTGTTTCGCAGGTGCCATGGACACACACGTAAACAACCACAAATTACACCCAAACTCTCGAAAGAAAAAAATCCGAGACCTCTGCGTGGTAGCCCAGCATGGTAACCATTCAGTTACAAAGGCAGTTATTCAATTGTTTTTGTAATTTCACAACAACTCCACTAGTTTTGTTATAATTCCTTCCTCCTTCGTTCTGGCTGGATTTGAACCAACGTCTTTCAGAAAACCGTGCCAGAAACTCGATCATTTTCAAACTAGTGTTCACTACCAATTACTGATGAAGTCTTCTATTATTTTATCGTGCAATATTATTTAATATTCGAGTATTGTATCGTGATATATTAACTTGAATATTTAAATAACAAAACTTGCCACGGAAATTAGGTAGTGAACACTAGTCCGAGAATGACCGAAATAAGCTCATATTTCATAGCGTCTGGCATGGTTTGCTGGAAGACGTTGGATCGAATCCAGACGGATCGAAGGAATTTTTTCTTAGTGTTCGATGTTTCTAATAATTTAATTAATTTATTTTTGTTGAATTTATATAATTGTTTTTGTCAATGTACGATGTATGTGTGCTTATTAACTTTTGTATTTTGTATGTAATATTCTGAAATAAATAAACCACATGTGATCGTGCGTCAAAAGCGCTGTTATCACATTAAAGCCATTAAAATAATACGAACTACACGAAACATATTATGTACTTCTATGAGAAATTATATAACTCTTTTTCTAACATAAATAAAATATAATTTGGGTGTGGAATCTTTAAACCCCTATCTCTTGAAAAAGTGTCATTTTGCAGATGTGGCCATAAGGCCTTAAGCATAAGCACCAAGGGTTTGAGTTTTAACCAAATTTAAAAAAAGTAGGTTCTTAATTCGACTGTATTTTTTTTGTGTGACGCGATTACTCCGGCATTTGTGAACAGATTTTGAGATTCTTTTTTGTTGGAAAAAGGGTACCTCAGCATTGGTCTTATTTAAATTTGAAGAAAATATTCCACCTCTAAGGGTGGAAAACTAGAGGTTTATCCGGTTCCGCGCACTTTCTGGTAACCGATTGCAAAAAAACTTGGCAAATAGATGTAATTCCACAAACTTTTGAGGTCGGCTTTTGTTATAAAAAAATTATAATTCTTGCGATACCAAACAAAGAGACAAACAAACCGTGTGCCTTGTGATAAGCAATACGCCTGTCCATAACGGTTGTAGTGCCGTTCAGTGCTTTAAATCGCAAAGATCTGAAGAGCACCGCCATTGCGTCGGTCATCCTGAGACACAAGTTGGGAAGTCCAATGCACCTGTAATTTCACTACCATCCTTACTTACCCTTCAAAATCGGAATGCAGTAATGGTCACATTACTGCTTGGCGGCAGAAATAACTTTCCTGTACGAACTCTTTCTTATGGTCTTTGAAGTCTGAGATGATAACGAAGATGAAATTCTTCTTACGTAAGCTGAGACACATCTTCCCTTCCACGGCGCCCATCACCCTGAGATATAAGTTAACAAGTCCCGTAATTTCACCAGCACCTTTACCCTTCAAAACGGGAAATAGGCGGGAGAAACAGATTGGATGGCAGTACTTCCTTCGACGAACTCTTTTATACTTTTCATTTCATACCTACTCATCACATATACTATTAATAATCTACTACAATTAACACTAAGGCGTTTCTTACACAGCGATGCATGTCGCACTGATACGCGGCATTTTAGCTTTCGCATTGCATTGTTTATAGAGTCAATTATGGTAGCATACACAGCAGCTCCATAAAAGAGTCGCGCGTCATTAAGCCGTGTGTGATGTGTGACTTCAAAGAAACTAATGGGAGTGTAATCACCTGGTCACGAACTGGAGAGTTTTTATACCTATTGTAATGATAACTTCGAGGACACTATTCTGAACACCCGGACAAATCGTTTAGGAAGCATCCATTCATACATGGGTTAACCGACCATCGACCTTTATACCTTTTGCAGTGTTTACACGCTTAGCGGCCGTGAAATAAAATAAATACAATTTAATACGCATATAGGTATGTATATTATGCGGCGTAACCATTTTGCATCTAGTTATAAATCCCCTTAGATTCCCATCGGAATAGGCAGAAGGTATCTATCGCCACTTAGCACGCTCCTTACAAACCTCTCTTGCTTCACTTACATTCATCAATCTTTTCCTTCATGCCCTTTTATTCTTCTCAGCCTTTTTAAGAACTATGTTTTTTGTGGCCGTCCTCTCCCAATGATTCCTTCTACGTTAGCTCTATATATTTCTTTCGATAATCTACATTCATTCATCCGCTCCATGTGCCCAAACCACCTCAGCACCCCTTTTCTATTTTTGTCACTACATCGTCTTTCAAACCGCATTTTTCACGGATCACTGCATTTTTCACTTTGTCACACAGACGCACACCACATATTCTGCTTCTTTTTCTTCTTCTAATCTCATGCTTCTTTTGCCACACCCAACACTCACTCTCATACATTAGCGTTGGAACCAACATAGCATTATGCACCGCCATTCTTGCTTTTTCAGATATAGACTGGCTGCATGTCATTCCCTTTATGGCCCCATTCACCGAATTTTCCATTTTTACTCTTCTTTCAATATCTTTCTTGCATTTATTTACCATCCCTTATAAAAATGCATCTCAGTTACACAAACTCTTTTACTTGTTCAACTTTCTTTTCATCAATTTCAATTACGCATTCTGAAGTACTATTATTTCTTTAAAAACCCATTACTTTATTTTTATTTTATAAATCCATATAGGGAAAATAAACTTTTAATATCCATTTAGTACATTTCCTACACTTTTCGTTAACCGATTTCAATAAAACTTGGCAAATAGATGTAATTCCAGGTAAAAATAGATCGTAACACACTTTCTCTAAACTGTACGTCCAGTTATAAAGATAACTATGATGAAAGCAAACTAGATCAAAACAGTCACAAGTGAAGTAAATACTTGAAATATCACGAGTATATTAAGACGTTCGACGTTTTCCAAACAAGATAAAATTTTACACACGACGTTTATTTAAACAGCCTAATTGAAGCTTTATTATCTACCACACAACGCAGAAAATATAATTTTAAATCTTTATTCTAAAGTAGAGATACGTATAGTACTTAAAAATGATATTTCCCTTTGTTCTAGAATTCATTATAATGGCGATAAATTGAAGAATTTAAGGTGTTGCCATTGTCTGGACTACAATGAGTTATTGTGACAGAAAGTCGTTATCGGTTTAAATTGCAAATGATTGAATAGGCTATACTTAAAGAACAATTTACTTTAAAATACAAGTATTGTCTCTTACAACATTAATATCATACACGAAACCTATAATTTTTAAGGAAATGAATATTTGACTTTAAAAAAATGCATAACGAAGTTCTGAATCGTACAATGTATACAAATGTTCTACGCTAAAACTTTTTATAAAGGTACGTACTACTACAGTACTACTACTACTAAACTTACAGGCTACATTACAAACTACTAACGTTCGTCAATTTTCTTATATGGTAATTTTCATATTCACTTCCATGTTTATTAACTGAAGCAATTCAACATTTTTTATGTAAGGGTATTACATACCTTATGTACTTACCAAAAACAAAAATCACTTTTATCGTCATTCTATTTAGGTTATTGTCGGTGTAGACTGCTCCATTCCTCACGGTTCATAGCCAGCTCCTTGACTTATTTATAGCTGCTCACTTTGCTGTTCTTCTTAACTTGTTCACTGTACGCCATTCTTCGTCTTTTTCACATTCACAAAATCACATTTATATAATTGTATAAATTAATATAGAAACCATACCACCATACCATACCATACACCTAAAGAAGTCACATTTAGACGAAAACAATAGGTAATAAAGGTACACAAACAGTTTTTTTAGTGAAGCAGTGAATAGAGTCAGTAGTGGACAATATTCCGATTCTTTTTGTTATTAGAGCCGAGTGAAATTAAGTATAAAAAGAATTTGCTACCCACGTTTTATCAGTATATGTTTAAACAAATATAATTTTTCTCAATTTTGTTATTCTGCCCCCGTTGTATAATAATAACTAATGCATTTGCATTTCGTAACTTTCTATATTGGCCCCTAAAGTTTTATTGTCAATTATATTCCGACTCTTTTTGTTATTAGAGGCAAATTAAATTAGGTACAAAAAGCAGATGCTACCCACGTTGTATCTGTACATGTCTAAACAATTATATATTTTGTTATTCTATTATTCTGCCCTCCTTGTCATAATTAATGCCTTTTCATTTCGGTAACTTTCGAGATATTGGTTCTTAAAGTTTTATCGTCACTTAAAAAAAATTCTAATTACGCTGATATTGCTAGATATTAAAGAAACTGATTATAGGGGTTGTAATATTATGTTAATAATTCAAGTTTGCTAAAAATGTCGATTACGTTAGTTATCTTAAGGAAGGCAATATTTTGGACAAGTAAATAATGTACAGTTTACGTCGGTTTAAATCTCTTTTTATCTACGTCTAACGTAAACTACCTACGTCCATCAACGTCCTCATTTTAGATTGTGTGCAAATGTGAACAATCTATCATTTAAAAACAATAGTTGGTTGTCCAAAGTCCATCCCAAGATAGACAAAATAAAACTATAGATAAAAGTGGTCAGCCGTTACGGCTTAGTTGTTACATGACTAAGTCTCGATAATGCCACCCTTCTTCTTTTTTTAAATGGGGACATAACCATCGAAATAATCCATGATTCCGCCAACGTCAAGTTAAGAAAGGCACACGCTTATTATTTAGAATTTGACCGGTTAACGATACGACCCTAACCTTCTTTCTCAAATATACTGTATTATTATGTAACCATCTATTAAGTTTTTTCCTATGTTAATGTATTTTTAATTTCTTTACAGGTCTCAATCGTCAATACGCTTTTGATTAAAAAAAACACTGCAATGTTATCAACGACATGGCGTCGAAGAATATCGAAATGTAAGTATTGTATTTGTAAAAAAAACTATTGCGTAGGATATTAGAATGATAACGTACCCTCACAAATACACTTTGACAATAGTTTTAAGTTTTCTTTCTCTAAAATACCTATCAAATTCCAATCAATTATGTATTGGTCATGTTGGTCAACAATTTATTGCCATTTTTTGGGTAATTTTAAAACTCCATTTTTTGGAAAGACCGAAACAAGTGACAATCAGAAGAGGCTTTATCGGGCGAATACGCTAAGAGGTAACACATCCCAACCTAACTATGTAATAGTTTGTGGCGGCTCTGTAAGGATTTGTGTGGTTTGCATTATCATGATGAAATACGACACTCAGTTTTGAATATTTTTATTTTTATAAAAAAACTGTTCAATTAATTCTCTCCATTCTCTCTAGTACCACATTTCAAATGCTTCTAACCTTTCCTTGTTTCTCTATTTCCATGTCTCACTGCCGTACAATACGATACTCCAAATGTACAATTTTATCAGTAGTTTGCAGGAGAAGCTTTTTAAAGACAATAGAGAATCGCAATGTATGAACATTTGATATGAAACGACGGATTTCTTAGAAGCATTATGGAACTAAATATTGAAGGGAAAAGATGCAGGAAAAGACCTAGTTATTTAGATCAAATAAGGGAAAATATGTCGTATCAGAATTAATGTTAGGCCGCTGAACAGGGGATGGTTGTCTATTATTTTACCGACGAGAGCCAAGTTCTTAAGAAGAAAAAACTCATTAAAATGCCAGATTTGAGATCAGCAGAGTATAAACTAATTGGCAACAGTTTAGTTTCCTTGTAATACACGTGCAGCGTTAGTGCTGCCATTTTTAAATAAATATATATTATAAAAATTAACATGTAGATTAGCCAGCAACTACTAACTAACTATCCACTATACATCTTCTCTTTCAGTCTTTAGTCTTTTATCATTATGTAGTTCCGTGACAATAAAAACTTTGTTATGTGATCTTAACACGTCTGGCAGACGCCTAGCAAACGAAGTGACTGAGACTGAGTGCATCTAGCTGATCTAAGCAAGAAGTTTTCTAACAATTGAGTGAGCTAAATAAATAGAACGTATTTTGCCATGACAGTTAGACGCACGCGGTCGCTGCGCGGCGGCAGCGCGGACTCCGCTCGACTCGAGCCCGCGGGGTGAGCTCGATAAAATTCGTGTCGCTCAAAATGCGCTCAGGGGGTTGGTGAAGTTGCAGTGTCCCTCAGTTATTTAGGATTTAAAGGTCGGCACTGTAACTGTTATGGACAAGCGTATCGCTTGCCACGAGGCCATTTGATATCATAAAAAAATAAAAAAAAACAACGTATTATTAATACTACTGAGCATTATAATGTCTTCAAATAATCTCTTACTAAGAATTTATGTTCACATCAATGAGTCAGTAAAACGAAAGTACCTAAATTATTACAATGATTGCAGTGTTTTGCAATTCCTTTTAAGACTCCAGTTACAGCACAAAAAGTGATTGCGTAACAAGTTACGAAATGAGCTAGATTCACTGCCGGGTCTCGATATTTTTGCTATCTAGAGCAAAACTAAAATAGAAAAATCAAACATCGCTTAGGAGCAAACTTCCATAAATATGTATAATATAAGTTTTCTTAAGGCGAAATGATATCGTGGTTGCGTAGGCTTTGAAGTGTGTGAGGCAAATGCGGGGAAATGCATTGCACGACCTTTAAATATTTGCCTTTTAGAAATAAGATAGTATCTCTCACTGTAAAATAAGCTCATAGTCCTCTGACGTATTTATTACGGAATACGAAAAAAAATCATTGAAATATTTATCTTTAATGACAATTGACCGAAATTAATTTTTTCGTAACAACAACAAGTTAAATTTTTAGTTTATAATGTCGAAAAACCGAAGTGGTCGAAATACGTCAGATCTCTCAATTCACCTTAAATAAAATATTTGCCAAAATGGATGCTATCTTTTTTGTACAACATCGTACAATTCCAATCATCATAATCGACCTATTATACATCCCACTGCCGGGAGCGGGTCCTTTTTTACGATACCTTGTGACGAGACCATGACGGAACGAACAAGTCGTGTGTCTGGTGTTAAGTGACACGCCTGTTCATTGCAGTTGCAGTACTACTTAAAGCTATAACTCGTAAAGATCTGAGATATACTGCCACTGCGCCTGTCACCATGCGACATAAGTTAGCAAGTTCCATGTACCTGTAATTTCACCAGCACCCTTTCCCTTCGAAACTGGAACAGCGTAATACGTGAGCATCATTAATACTTGGCGCCAGAAATAGGTAAGGTGGCAGTAATTCCCTGGACGAACACTTTCACAAGGAACTCTACAGCTGCTACGTAATTTATCTAAAATGTATATCGTACAGTATACTTGTTCTATTTAGTTCAGTTGATATAAAAAATAATTGATATATTATAAAGTACCTACTGAATACAGAGGCTTTCCTGTAAAATTTCGAGGTAAGTCTATGCTTTTTCCCTATCGTGAAAATTTTTAGGAATCGCATTTTCACACCGCATAGTAATCAGTGTATATCCTCATTTTTACTATATATTTTGTCCAAAGTCAAATTCAACACTTTCACTGTTATGCGCAATCAACCAAAGCCATTTGAGCTTCTATACTCTTAATAATTGAGGAACAACCATTGTCTCACCTGACAATCACCGCTCTCGCAAATTCCAATTGATCCCTTCAAAAACATATTTTCAATTTCAGTATGTACTTACTCATTAATGCATACATTATGTTTGTTTAAAGGAAAAATATCATATATCGGCGGTGTTTTGTAGAAAGAACGAAAGCAACATCTCAAAAAAATTGTAAAGGGAATATATTTTACTTTATTAGGATTGTTGAAAATATTTAGTCCTGTTTTAATACCAAAGTTGAATTTTAAAACAAAACGTGAATATTTTAAGACCGTCGTTAAAACCTAAAACATGTTCCCCTGACTTTTTTTTCGAATAGTCGCTTTTGCCCTTTCTCCAAAACACTGACAATATATATTCTCTGTCTGAGCTGAATTCGGGATTTCTTTTCAATAGCTTTCCGAGGACATTTATGTCTCGTCAAATTACAAAGTCTTACAAGTTTGTTATCTGATAAATTCATTTTGGTGTTTGAAATTTTCTTTAACACCTTCCTTAGTCCGACCCCTACTTAATATAAAGGCAAGCTGAAGTCTTCTAAAATAATATTTTTACATAACTTAACGCATTAAAATTATATATATATATAAATAGCGCTTTGCATCACCTTTTCTGATGCGTACGACAAAAAAATAGCCAGCTCTCTGTGTTTTCCAAAGCTACAATTTAAGACTATATTCAAGGATAAAGTAAATACGAATTTACTAGACAGTCGGGGAATATCGTCGACATAGCTTAACATCAATGAGATTGTAATATGAAGATAAGGGGCGTTTAAACGAAAAGCACTTAAAAAAACTTTGCTTTATATTAAAAGCACACAATTATGGTTATAATTTTAAGTTGTAGGTTAGTGTTACACAGTTGAATACTCAGCAATTTTATTTTTTACAAGCTGCCTAAGTGTCAAGTCCCACCATTTATATTTTCCAAACAAATGTACAATAATATTGTTTTAAATCAAAATAAAACTCATGTTTTACAAATAAACTTGCTTACTGAAAATTTTTCGTGGCCTACTTTCGCTTTTCGCTGTCAACACAATGTTGCAAGCTTTTCTTGTTACAAAGTCTATGAGCATTCTAAACGATTTTTCTAAGCTTCAAACTAAAAACCATTTGCAAAAAGATTTTTATAAACGCCCTATTTTAAATAAGTATAACGTTTTAACGATAAAAAATTTATAAGCAGTTTTTTTCATCTCTAGGGACTTGTTATAAAATTTGTCTAAATTCTCGTACCATAATATCAGTTTTGGGTTTACTGTTATGATAGTAAACCCAAAACCGAGATGGGTTTACTATTCTGAGATATTTGGAATTAAAGATATTCCAGTTTAATGTTTTGGAGGTTAGGTTTTACGTAATTTAATAAAAAATATTGTGTGTATTATTAGATCAAAATAAACAATAGAAGCCTTACACAGAGTTAATGGAAGCTGAATGGTGCAGTGGCTTTGTCACGTGACGAAAGTATTTTTTATAAGGTATGGTCAAAAGGCACGAAGTTAAGCCATAACAAAAAAAACCTCGAGTATGTACTTACCACGTCCCAGTAATTCGAACACAAAAAATAATTTTTTTGTGAAATATGCCATCTATCCCTGACATTGTGAACTTTTTGTCACTTTTATTACTTTCTCGCTGGCATATTTGAAGACGGATTTATCTACTTTATTTTTTGTAATATAGCAGTTCATCTGTCATCGCAAATCTGCCGAATCAGTCCATTTGATATTACGTAAACTAAATTAATATGGACCTACGAGTATCGTATACGTACGTATTGAAAACCTCTTTTTGTCGGTTACATGTCGCTCAAAGTTAAGAAACTAAGAAACTGACAATTGAAGATATTAGGCCGGTTACATACGAATTAGTCATTTGAGTTTTGTAGCAGTAGAGCTTGTCGTGTGAAAGAGTTCGTCCAGGTAAGTACTACCTTACCTATTTCTGCCGCCAAGCAGTAAAGCGAGCATTATTGCGTTCCGGTTTTGAAGGCTCTCAGATCTTCGTGTCTTAAAGCCTTGCTTACCATCAGGTGCACGACTTGTTCGTCCCGTCACTTGACATCATAAAAAAAATTTATTTTAAATATGATTTTATTTTCAGACTTAGACAGGCCTTTAGTATAATTTGGGAAGCTTAATGAATTTATTGTATTCAGATTTGTAATTATGATATTTGAAGATGCTAAAGAACTCTTTTAACAGTAATTTCGCCATTGTCCTTCAAATGAACTTGTTTTCGGTACTTTTTTATTATTTTCTTAATCTACCATCGCCTTCTACGGTTTACATACACGCTTACATAAAGAACATTGCGTAATTTTGTTCATTAAACACATTGCCTTAGCACATTTTGATCGCGTCTTGTTCATTTATAATTAGCACCCTGTCTATTCTTAAGCTACGCTAAAGCGAGAGTCATGGACAAAGTCAAAACACAACTCCAAAACTGAATTAGATACTTAAGTTAAACTTAACCGAGTTCTAAGCGAACATTTTGCTTGATCGTTGACTAGAGAAATCTTAATTGGTCTGGGAGTTGCCTGTGTAACTTTCGTTTCGATTCTGTTTGAAGGTCCAATACTGCTAATATTGATCTTCAAGTTAGTACATTTAGAGTAACAATAAATGTATCAACCTTCAAATATATCGCCTGCTTTTCTTATGAGATTCAATTTATTAAGTTTAATATTTAACATAATATTAAAAGGTGTATCGCTATTTCAGAATCCCTTAAGAGTCTACACAACCTCAAATGGCTTTGGTTGATTCCGCATAACAGCGAAAGTGTTGAATTAATTACTTTGGAAAAAATATATAGTAAAACTGAGGATATACACTGATTACTATGCGGTGTGAAAACACGATTCTTACAAATTTTCACGATAGAAAAAAACACAAACTTATTTCGAAATTTCACAAGAAAACCGCTGTATTTAATAAGTACTTTACATATACCAATGATTTTTTTTTATATCAACTGAACTAAATAGAACACGTATGGTATAAGATATGCATTTTTCGAATCACTTTAATTTGAGGAAGGTGGGATAATTAACTTAATGAAAAAATATTCAACACCAGCGCAGCTATTTTGCACGATCTAACCTTCACTGGGTTCGCGGAGTAGCAAATTAATTTACTTCCATTTTTATTAACATGGACTTCCGCAAAGTAACGCCTGAATTTGTTAATGGCTTTAGTTTCGTTTGTAAAAAAATTAATTATAAAATAAAACCAGTGTTCCTGTCGCTCAACTCAAGCAAAATGATTAGTATAATTGTATTAAGTAGTACGGGAAAAGTATCGACTGTTAATAACAATATATTTTTAGAAATTTATTCATTTGATAGGACATCAATGGCATAATAAAGTCATATATGATCATATGTCAAAAACCGCTTTTACCGCATGAAACTCATAAAAATTATACGAACTACATGAAAAGTTATCGACTAATTTAGTTTGTAGAATCTTCAAGAGCTCTCATGCCAAAAAAGTTTTGACGTTGGCTCCGCCCAAATTTGTGAAACAAATTTATGCCTGAAGTTCGCGTGACATGCGACAGGAGATGTTGAATTTTGCGCATTAAAAGTACCAAATTCGTTTTAGCGGAATAACTCTAAAACTAAAGGGATTAAAAAAAATCCATAGTGACAGTTGTCGATCATACATACATATAATTAATTATCTAATTTTTGTCCTAATAACCTGTAGCATTTCGAGGATAAATCGAAAAAATGTGTCAATTAGAGGTCATTTCGTGATTTTTATCTATCGAGGAAACTTTATTGTTTTATGTTTCTGATTAATGTCTATGCTTGAATATATCGTGTAGTCATTCATACAATATTTTATTTTTAACTTTAAAGTGGATATACCCCTCTAAAATCAAATCGAAGATTAGGAATTATTCCTCTGCTCCCTCTTAAGCCTCTCTCCCAACAAGCTGTCATTTTGCAAATGTGATTTTAATATAGCAAGCCTACGAATTGTAAACTATGCGTTATAATTCAACAGAAAGCTAGTGTTTGTGAAAAACTCGTGTCCAGGAGTCTACATTTATTTACTTTTATAAACTCGACTCATTTTGCACGGCTCGGTGGCCTAAAACACTCACGACTCCGAGTCGAGTCAAGCGAGAATTATCGGATCACGGACTCGACTCTAAACAGAACTTGAGTCGTAAACCTAACTCCAAAACTCGCCTCGAAGCGATTTCTACTCTACAAAGTCTTGGGTATGATAAACAAGGTGAAATGTCACTGAACACTACCACTGCCCAAGAATTAAATAAGAAAAAAACCCAATTATGGTGATTTAAAAAAGAAGAAGATAGTAATACTTAATTATACCATAGTAGTTATACTACAGTTTAACACAACACACCACAACACCGCTCAGTAGGTACTTACTCTAGACTCGAGCTCGACTCGGTAGATAATTAGACTCGAGCCTAACTTCGACATTATAAAATGTCGAAGTGGAGTCTATTCGGAAACTCGATAGGCTCGTAGTACATCGAACAGTAGGTAAATGTCAGTCTTTATGAGTCTTGTGAATTAGACTTGAGTCTTAAAATGTAGACTGCCAGACTACGGTTTTATACAGCACTACAAAAATATGATTTTTGTAAAATATGCTCATAAACTTTTAAGTTGTGCAAGTTTGTGTGTTAATTAAAGGCTTCCCTGATATTATACATTTTATATACCTGCTATTTATATACAATAATTTTGTCCGCTCAGTGTTCCTAATTCCTCAGCGGTATGTCCTCGGTATCATGGGTCTCCTGGCCGTCTGCAACGCCTACACGATGCGAGTCTGCCTCAACTTGGCTGTCACACAGATGGTCAACAACACCAAGACAGAATCGGAACATCATGATCCCAATGCTTGTCCTGATGATAATTTAATTGTTTCCAATGGAACTGTTAGTTTGAAACCGGTAAGATATTTTTGTTAAATTTTTAGACGTACCTATGCATACCACATACTACAAATATAGAAGATTTACTCCTTAAAAATGCAACTTAAATTGCATCTTAGAGCGCATAGAAAAAAGTCTATGTTAAACTAAACTATAAGAGCGGTTACGCGATGCAAGCGCGTGACAGCATGCATGTCGATGCACTCGTCTATATATCCCAAGTGTAGCGATGCAATCGCTCGTTTGTATCGATGCAATTGCTCGTTTGTATCGATGCTGTCGCGCGTTTGTATCGATACAATCGCCTATAAATCGCAAGTGTAGCGATGCAGTCTGGAGTTTTACGAACGCGCGTTTGCGTCGCTGCTAAAAGTCGTCTTTTGTAACCACTCTGAGGGTCACGCAGTCACGCACACAATAATTTTCAGTGCGTCAATTCTACGTTGTATGTACGTAATGTTTCGAAACGGGCTGCGGTGTATTGCAAAGTACTGTGTATACGTACAAAAGTACGGCTATTGAGCGGGATTCCCTGCCTGCTGACTTGTTCTCTGAACGCTGTAATTTGGGCCTTTTCAAAACAAGGCATAGGCATTATAGGTGTAGATGCTCCATAGTCGGCCTCATTATCACTTTGCATTAAGTGGAGGTAAAATGCGCGTTTATTTTATTAAAAAAAGTTGTAGGCGACTTCAGTGATTCTAGCATGAGTTTACAGACCATTGGCGATTCATTAGCGACCGCGTAAAAGAGAGACAGAGAGGTTGAGTATCATACAACATTCTGTACTATCTGTTCACTCCATTTTACGCGATTTGAACAGACTTTTCTTGATATCCTCTTTAAGACGCCAGTGTCCATTGAGATCCACGATTTTAGGCAGTGATTGCCGAGGCGGTTTTGTCCGAAGGACACGTGTTTCAACCTTTCATATTATTATTATATTTCATTAAAATAATCCCTTTACAACGAATTTAAAAAAAAATTAGGAGGTTCTCAAATCGACTGTATTTTTTTTTGTGTACGTTACGCGATTATTTGTGAACCGATTTTGATCTTTTTTAGTTGGAAAGAGGGCACACCTCAGTATTGGTCCCATTTAAATTTGAACCCTTAGGGATGGCAAACTAGGGGATGAATCTAGTTTCACGCACTTGCCGGTAACAGATTTCAACACAACTTGCGAATTTGATGTAATTCCACGAACTTTTGAGGTCTTTTTTTTATATGAAAAGGTTAAAAAGGTTACAGTTATAACCTTTACACAAAGTTAGGAAAGGAGATTAGGGTGTAAAGAGACACAAAAACTGAATATTACACTATTATACTATATAAACTGAATATTAGACTATTAAACTGAAGATGTACACAATTTTGTTTGAATTGTAATTTCTTTTAATCTATTTTAGCAAAATCAGTTTTTTGATCAAGCGTTAAAATTAAATTAAACTTGACCAACTTCTGCTGTCCCATTTTTTTTCGTCCCACACAATGAAATGATCCGTCATAAAACTAAGTCGATCAGTATGCACAAAAAAAATTTTGATCAATTTTATTAATTTTTATGGGCAACACACACTTGCCCAAAAAATCGACAACACCAAAATTGTTTTCACAAAAAGAGACTTAATGTTTACTAAGATAGTTTCCTAGTATCTTCTATGGTTTCGGAATTCCCCATACTGTCCGATTAAAAGAAATACTGTATATAAATACTGAAAATATTGCAATTAATTGGCTCAATTTTAAGCAAATGCCATTTGCAACCTTTTGTCAAATTTTATCCATGTAATATACAAAGGCTCACAACTTCATGGTCATGAATTCGTAGAGCTACTCCAAAACTTAGTACATTCTCTTCGAATAAATATTCATGAACTAATCGCCATGTTACTCCAACTGTTGTAAATTTTAGAAGTTTCATTATGTTTGACAACAAATTTTAAATGGTGGTTGTCTAATCTCAAAATTAGCTTTTAGTAACATTTCGGAGTAATTTATAAATATTTCTCAATTTGTATTGCATTAGACAGGTAACAATACTAATTAATTAGGTTTTCTTTCTCATTAGAAATCTGCGCTCAAAAGCCTTTTTTCCACGCTAGCATGGAAAAGGCTTTTGAAATTCGAACTTGACGATAGATTGTGGTGCACCAAATTTTTTATTTCGATTTAATAAACGCGATTAGTCGTACATTATTTATGTAATATAAAACCGTTGTTATATTTTATAAGAATTATTGTTGACATTAAATTGACAACGATAACTAATGTTGTTAATTAAAACTGAATTGTTATAGTCCAACTGTTCAACAACTTTCATCTATATGATTTTCATTTTTCTCTATTTTCATTTTTCTCGCTATAGTGAGGTGAAGAGTTGTGTGTTTCGCCCGGCAGCAAAGTTGTTTTGCGTCTCGTGTCATGAAACCCTCGCTACGCTCAGGATTCTGCTTTTGAATTTCAATCTTAACAGCCTTCGCTTGCTCAGGTTTCAATACAAGCACTCGCGTTAAACAACAACTTTGCAGCCTTGCATAACAAATGTCAATAACAAACTATTCATTAGTAGGTTACATTGACTTACAATTATGGACGTCGGGTCCGCGCTAAAAAGTGTCCGAACTTATAGGGCGTTAAAATCGTATACAGACCGTGATTCACGCTTTAGTCTTCGTTTGTTCGACTGACAGCGAAACAAGCAAAATTAGACAGTACTGCGATGACATTACAATTTAAATTCAACGTTTTAGCTTTTTCATATTCCTTTACATGTCACTACGTTTAAATAGGTTGACTTGGGACATTTTTTTCGTGGTTTTTGTATTAGACCCGTCGTCCATTTATTTGTAAGTCAATGGTAGGTTACTTAAAATTTATAAGAAATCTGTGTTCAATTCGGCGTAGATTAAATCTTATCTTTTTCAGCATGCAATATTCGATTGGGATGAAGCAACCCAAGGTCTAATTCTCAGTGGTTTCTATTATGGATACGCCATCACTCACGTACCAGGAGGTTACTTAGCAGAACGTTATGGTGGCAAATGGACTTTGGGCATTGGTCTATTGAGCACAGCCTTATTTACCCTACTAACTCCTGTTGTGGTTAAAGCTGGTGGGGCAGTATGGTTATTTATTTTGAGAGTTTTGCAAGGAATGGGTGAGGTGAGTGAAGTTTTTAAGATATACTCTTAGTGATCATCATCATCAATCCATTTGTATGTCCCACTGCTGGGTACGGGTCTCCTCTCAGGCAAGGATTTAGGTCATAGTCCGCCACGCTGGCCCAATGCGGGTTGGGAACTTCACACATTTCCTAAGGATTGTTGTATTGTTGAGGTCAGTTCAGGTTAAGGTCTCTACTTGAGAGGCAGTAGTTCACTGCTATTACAATAGTGTTGTAACTCAAAATATGTGAAATTCAAGATTCTGGCATTATTGTGAGTAAAATTTGATTCTCTACACGTCTACAAAACTGTCTTTAGAATATTTTAAGAAACAACTGAATCTACTTAACTCAAAATGAGACACGCTTTATGTGAGCTAGTTCTGGCCAAAATAGTCCTTATACAAAAATATAAAATTATTTTTTTTCTTTTATTTTTATATATATTTGGCAAGTAGGAAATTGTTTGTAATAAACTATAACCTATCTAGTATTTTAATTATCTTTCACGGGAAACGAGTAATTCGTTTTTCGTTGATTCTGAGAAAATACACTTTTTCAGTTAATACACTATTGTATTAACCGTGCGATATGTAAAAAAACCTTTAAAAACTAACATACTATGACATATATAATAATTCGCACCCCTCATGGTAGAATGGCAGAAGATTCTTTTCAACAGGAAAAATATTAACGTGTTCCTCGCAAACACGCTACACCAATGTACAATTCACACCCCTCATGGAAGAAAGGCATAAGTGGAGTTACGTCAAAAACGATTATTGCTCCATTAGACACAAAAAAATATAACCCACAACCTGTCCAATTCTTGTGACTCTATCGACTTCGCTTCTATCTATCGCTTTGTCTTTATATTTCAGGGTCCTACGATGCCTGCTTTGATGATCGTTCTAGCAAGGTGGACACCTCCACATGAGAGATCTCGACAAGGAGCAGTGGTGTTTGGAGGAGCACAAATAGGAAATATCTTCGGATCTTTCATGTCTGGTTTTCTTATGGCAGGCGATGGCGATTGGGCTAATGTTTTCTACTTCTTTGGATGCTTTGGTATCTTGTGGTTTGTTTTCTGGGTAAGTATAGAAAATTAATTTTACAGTTTACCCAATTTTTATGAAAGTATGTCATTCACCTCGCTCAGTCTGGAAATCTACAATTATATATTTATCTAATAAGAAAAAACTATTAGCGAGTATATTCCGTACTAAAGGCAAGTTTGTGAATGTATTGAATTATATTTTTTTGCATTTAGTAATCTGCCCATTTTAAAAACTTTGCAGTGTTAAGTCTACACTTAAATATAACGTATACCTTTCCAGAGTATACTCTGCTTCAGCACACCGAAGACGCACCCCTACATTTCGGATGAAGAATTGAAGTACCTCAATGAACACGTCACCAGTGCAGAAACGTCTAATGTTAGAGACCCGGTGCCTTGGAGGGCAATCGTCAGGTCCATTCCTGTTTGGGCGCTATTATTTGCGGCTGTATGCTTTTTTTTAATTGGTATTCAGACGGTCCATCTGTTACATCGCAAATGCGTTTCTGGCAGTGGAACATAAGATCTTAAGTCCCTTGTAGATTTGGTAGCTTTGGCTCTGCCTACCTTGTAATTATTCTGTGCAGAATCTACCGTTACTTTTATGATATAAAGTGTCGGGATAAGCAAGTCATGTGCCTGGTGATAAGCCTTAAATCTGTCTGTAAGAGCTGTAAAATCGCAAATATGAAGGGCACTGGCACTGCGCCTGTCACCCTACGACATAAGTTGACAAACAGCTATGCTCACATTACTGCTTGGCAGTAGAAATAGGTAAGATGTCAGTAATTCTCTGAACAAATTCTTTTACAAGAATACTCTATTGCTTCTAAAAAATGAACCGAAAATTGCAAGCACAGAAAAATTCTGACACAAGTTTACAACTCTACGGCATCTCTGTTTCCCAAAAACATAGGCATTGTACATATAAATGGGAACTGTCGTTAGTCACACATAACGTTGCTTAACATCAGGTAAGGTTGTGACCAAACGTGCTTCCATTTACACAAAAAAAATATTATCCAGTCGCCGCTTTACCGTTGTAGCGATATAAACATGACATGACATAATTAGCATTGTCACATAGAAAATACAAAACAGGGACGGTAAACGAAAGGCCAAAGTATTGGAATTGGGAGCTGTTTTTCTACGTTTTCAGCGTTTTTCTGACACTTTTTGTTTAAAACGTAGTTTCCTAGTCCACAAAGAAACTTGCTTATATATTACAAAAGTTTCAAACAACTAGGCAATACGTCAAAGTGTGAGTTTCGAAAGGAATACTAATCTGAGCTCAAGTTTCACGAAACTTTTAGTGGGAGTTGTTGAAATGGTACTCGAATGTTGACATTGCTAGAAGAGGAAATATCGGATATCAGTAGAGAGCTAAAAGAGTATAGTACGCATTAGTACCCTGGAAATTGTTGTTACCGTCATTTTTAATTTCTGTAATATGTTGCAAAGATAAACTATTTCATTATTTATTTATTAGTTAAGTACTTAACCTAGAAAACATACCAAAGCTCGTTAAGATTGTATTCATTTTAATTCCGGGTATTCTTTTATATTATAATAGACAAATTATAAAGACGACGTGTATGTCAAAAAAAATTTATACCAAAACCAGGTATTTGTTGTAACCAAGAACGGGTCTTAGGTATATTTTTTTTTAAATGCAACGATGAACTTACGAAATAGTTTCGGAATATTATTATGAATGTAATTATAATGCAGACAATAATGTAACTGTCTCACTGTTGTTCCCTTTGCTTTTTTACTATGAAAATAAGTTTTGGATTTAAAATCAAAACAAATAATTATGTTCCAGGCGGTTTTTGTACTACCGTAAAATGACTTGCTGAATATGAATATTTACGTTAAATTTATATTGAATCGATATTCAATTAGAATTTGTGAAATTACTTCACTAGTTTGTTATAATTATTAATACAAAGATTGAACACTTAGACAAATATTCCTTCGATCCGGCCGGATTCGAACCGACGTCTTCTAACAAACCGTGCCAGACGCTATGTTCGGTCTTTGTATTAATAATTACGAATATTTACAGGCACACGGAATTTGTCAACTTACATCTTAAGATGACGAGCGTAGTGACAATGCCTCTCAGATATTTGTCATTTAAAGCTGTGAGTGGCACAGCAACTGTTGTAGACAGGCGTGTAGCTTACCATCAGGTGCACTACTCGTTCGTGCCGTCACTTGATATTATAAAAAAAAAACTATTTCGTTCTCTATTCTTCACTTCTTTATAATTAAAAAGAAAGCACTTTATGATATAATATTTCATTTTTAATTTCAGGTTGGTCACGACTGGGGTTATTACACAATGGTCACTGATCTTCCTAAATACATGACAGATGTCCTAAAGTTCAACATCGCCACCACAGGCACCCTCACCGCCATACCTTACCTTGCCATGTGGATCAGTTCCTTTATTTTCGGCTGGGTTTGTGATTTGTGCGTGAAGAAAAATTGGCACAGTATTAGAACGGGCAGGATAATCCATACCACTATTGGTAAATTACTTTTTGATTAATTTTATTATACGTCATTATGAATATATGAAGAAAGTGCTGTTTTTAACCGACCTCAAAAAAGGAGGAGGTTTTCAATTCGACTGTATGTTTTTTTTTTGTATGTTACGCGATTACTTTAGTGAACCGATTTGGATGATGCTTATTTTCTTGAAAAATATCCCCTAGTTTTCCTCTAAGGATGGAAAACTAGGGTACGAATGAGTTTTGAGGTCGGTTTTTTTAGTACTCTGTACTGAGATTATTGAAATAAGTGGGTGGGTGAATGAATGAACGAACGAATTAATTAAGTATATTTTTTCCCTGAAATATGCCAAAAAGTAACAGACTTCATATGCCAAGACAAATCTCATACAAATTTTTCGGCCATACACAGTTTAGAGACTAAACAACGGAAGCAATTCTAATAATGTTATGAGAGTTATTAATAGTAAGCTATTTAGATGTTGTAAAGATGTAAATAATACAATGAATAAATAAATTTTTTGGTGAGATAAGTAGTCAAATTAGTTGAGCTTTATATATAAAGAAGTCTTTAATGAAGTAGAAACATGCTTACTTGCTCTACACAAATAGATGACATTAGCTCACCTTAACATTACTCTGGCACACTACAGCTCACTTTGGCTTGTTCCCGGATGCATAAAGGTCACGTTAGAAACTTTGGAGCATGTTTATGTCATTGTAGGGCGTATATTGTTACTAAATACCTTCCTTACAGTATTGCATTTCTAGTAACAGTGTAGCGTAGTGACATGAATCTAAATTAGTAGCAGTAGAGCTCCTTGTGAAAGAGTTCGTCTAGGGATGCATTGCCACGTTAACTGTTTCTGCCGTCAAGCAGTAATGTCAGCATTACGGGTTCTGGTTTTGAAGGGTAAGCGTGCTGGTGAAATTACAGGCACATGGGACTTGTCAATTTATGTGACAGGCGCAGTGGCAGTGCCCCTCAGATCGTTGCTATTTAAAGCTCTGAGTGGCACTGCAACTGTTATGGCGTATAACTTACCATCGGCCCACGAATTGTTCGTCCCGTCACTTAATATTATAAAAAAAAATGCAGTATCCTATTTTCGTTTGTTTTACATATCCCATTATTTGTTTTAGCGGCGACTGGCCCTGCCATCTGTATAATTTTGGCGTCATACTCGGGTTGCAACCGCTTTGCAGCTGTCGCCTATTTCATTGTCTCTATGGCTCTCATGGGAGGCTTCTACAGCGGAATGAAGGTGATATATTATTTACGTTCTATATTAATTTATGGTGATCTCAACATAGGTAAAGGTATCTTGTAACAGAGTTTAAAAGGAATTTAATTCTTGTGCCAAATAAATATGTATATTTTTCCTGTACTTTTGGAATACGTATTAAATTACTAAAACCAACAACTGAATGCTTTAGAATGTACAAAATGTAATTACACGTTTCAAGCCTAAGCAAATTTGCTTTCAGTTTTGTATGAAAAACGTATTTTTCTAGAGACCTTATGGTCATATACAAAGTAATATTATAAATGCGAATGTAACTTTATCTATTACATTTTCACGTGAAGCGTTGAACTAATAAATGAATTTTGGTACAGAGCTAGATGGAACCTAGGAGAAGGACATAGGACTTTTATCTCAAAAATAAATTCTAAAGAGTGTAAGATAGGGAATGAAAGTTTGCATTGAGGCCTAATAAAACTATAGAAATTAGTATAGAAGTCGCGGGCACTAGCTAGAATGTATATATAAATTTGAATGCGATATTTTCATTAGAATGTACACTACGCGTTTACATGATCATAGGAATAGTATTAATTGTCTGCATCTGAATCACATAATATATTATGTATAGCTTGATGTACACGGGGCCTTAGGAGATTAACGATGTAAGTGACTAAAAAGAAAAATTTTGTCGACTCAGTACACATGTTTGTTTTAATCACGGGTATTGCACTGTACAAACACTGTTTCCTTTGTGGAGCAAGGTTTAGTCTTATGTGTAGAATGATCATTTTAGTGCATTTAGCAAACGTCATTACAAATTATTGTCATTAATTTCGAAGACAGTAATTACGTTGAGGCCAAAACCATGATTTCAATTGAATATGAATACCAAAGGTGTCGCATTTTGTTGATAAGGTATTAATGTTCTTTAGTTATTTACGTAACTTGCCAAGTCTGGTAAATTACCTACAATTAACCAGCGACATTAATCTTTTTCCAGGTGAACGCTCTAGACTTAGCGCCAAACTACGCAGGCTCACTAACGGCAATGATCAACGGCACTTCTACAATATCTGGTATCATCACGCCCTACCTCATCGGATTATTAACGCCTGATGTAAGTTTACGAGCAAACATTAACAAGTTTAATGTTTCTATTAATATTCGAGTAGGTGCTTGACAAACTCAGGAAAATTCCGTTGCATCTGAATTTATTAAATTTGCTTTAATAACATCTTCAATCGAGTTTTTAAAAAAATATTTACGTCATAATTTTGGGCCCTTTCAAGGTTCCACGGTCACGGCTGACTGCCGTGTACCGTGTACGTACAATCGACCATGATCATGGAAACTATAAAAGGCCCGAAAAAATAGTTTCATTTCCTATGTGTATTGATCGCGAAAATCTAAAAACAATGTTTAACACTTCTTATTTCTCTTGTTTCAGTCAACATTAGTTCAATGGCGGGTAGCATTCTGGGTATGTTTTGCCGTGCTGGTAGGTACGAATGTAATTTACATCTTCTGGGCTGACGGTAAACAGCAATGGTGGGATGACGTCAGGCAACACGGGTATCCGGCGAGCTGGAAACACGGTCCGTTAAAGATGGCTCAACAGGATAAAGAAAAGAACAAGAAAGCAGAAGCTGAAGGCACTGTTTTGTAGTTACTCTTGAAATTGGTTGGTTTGTTATAATTTTGTTGTAATGTTGTTGACAGTTTTTCTGTTTGAAATATTCCAATTTTGTTTATCAAAAATTAGCACGTTTACTGTACAGAGTCAACATCACGTCAAGCTTGATACTTATGATTTAAATTGAATTCTATGCCGGTTGAGGTAAGTACGGTTCAAGCTATCTAGCTTGAAGCTCTTTTGATTGTGTTGTAAGCTAATGGTTAAGTGCTTAGAGTGGTTACACACGGCGAGTTTCTGCAGTGCGTCTGTAAGGATTCAATTGCGACGCACTCACTAATCGTCTCCCTTTACACACACGCGCGATTTAAGCATACTATCGCGATACTATCGCGATGCAAATATGCCTCTGTGGCCGAACGGTTTTTTTTTAAATAAAATATCAAGTGACGGGACGAACAAGTCGTGGCATTGCCCCTGCGCCCGTCACCCTAAGACATAAGTTGACTAGTCCCATGTGCCTGTAATCTCACCAGCACCCTTCTTGCCCTTCACAAGCGGAACGCGGTAATGTTATCATCACTGCTTGGCGGCAGAAATAGGTAGGGTGGCAGTACATACTTCCCTGGACGAACTCTTTCACAAGGAGCTCTACTGCTCCTTAAATATGTTTACCATGCTGGTCTGCCACAAAGTCTCAGATTCGATTCGGCCGGGAGAAATATTTGTATTACCTATATTTACTTCTCTCGTGAGTTTGAGTGTAATTTATGGTTGTCCGTGTCACCCGCGACACAGGGTATTCTTAGTGCGATGTTATGAGTGTGTGCCATGTGAAAAAAAAACATGTAAAAAACGCGATGCACGTTTTTAATGATTCAACTTATGCGACGTTATCGATGCAATCGCGCGTCTGTAATGACGCAACCGCCAATGAATCGCAAGTGTCGCGATGCAATCGCGCGTTTGGTCGCTGCTAAAACTCACCCCGTGTGTAAACGCTCTTAGGTTGCGAAAGTGTACTATAAAAATTCATTTTACTAAAAACATTAGAATTAGGTTACCTATATATAAAAAAACACTTGCTGTGTACAAATTTAATTTAATGAAAAGGAATAGTCGTTATGTGAACGCACATAAATACTATAAATTAACTATTAGTTTTTAAACAAATACCTACTTAGTTATTAAGTAAAATTTAAGAAGTTGTGCCATTGAACCAGTCATTTTCAGCATCAATTAAATTGTTCTGAAGATTAAAAGTCCACAACTGAATTTCAAAATCTGTTACAAAAATCGAATGGGTAATACAGGGTAATCATTAATATCAAATGGCGATTATTAGGCGACGTTCTGTTATTAAAGTCTTTCTTGTGAAGTTATTGTCTCAAGTAAACTCACAATTATTAGTTTGTGCATAACTTTCCAATCTTTCCAGGGTAGTACTTTGTTATCATTGTATACAATACACTTAATTCATATGAAACTGTAATTAGTTACCTATCTATACGAAACCTATCAATGATGTGATATGATATGTAAGTGCGGGCAAATAAAAAAAAAATATGTTCGAGTTCGTTTTGACTATAGTATTTAGTTTTGAAAAATAGTGCAAGTAGATATACAATTATAATATATTTGTTGTGAAAAATAAAGATTGACAATGAGATTTTATATAATTTTTTATTTAAAACTTATTACAAAATACTTAAATAAGTATTGACTGAAATGGTTACATTATGAACAATGACGTCAAAATTAAAGATTCATATCATAACTCCTTTCTAGAGCATGTATTTTCTCCTTCTTAGGTTTGGCGCCCGCTGAAAGTTCGGTAGAGGACTCTTATACGACGAAAGGAAATACACCTTACTAGGGATACCGAGCCGGCCGCCTCCGGAATGCCTCAGCTACCTTGGGGATGCTTCGGCAGACTTCGGGACGCCGAGTGCGTCTATGCGGATATGCAGGGTGAGAGGAGGCACGCTCGGCAAGACTGATCTGAAGGGAGACCTGGCGCGAGCATGATGTCTCGACGGAATGCTTCGGCATGCCTAAGGATGCTTAATTATGCCGTCAGCATGCGCTTGCGTGTAGGGACGCCGATGGATCCCCGGTCGAGCCGTCCTGTCTGTGGGCGCCATGCCTTATGATATGGGGTCCTTCAAACGAGGCGTGAAGAGGCATCTTGTAGGCATGCAAGGTGGAGGTGGTCATAGCAGTGGTTGTATCAACACAGCTTTCTTTCTGCTGTCCTTCACGTCTGGATTCCACTTTCTATTTAACATCTGCTGGAGTAATCGAGTTTCCGGATATCGACGACTATCTTAAAGCGTTTTTTGTGTGAAATTAGTCGCAAGTACCTATTCCTGTCACTCTAATTTGAACTATAGTAGGAATCTTAACATCTTCTTGCGGTCGCCGAGACTTTCTGAAAGTGACCTTGTAGCTCCGAGGTATTCAGCCAAACGGATCTGTACAAGAATATATATAATACACTGTATATCTTAGGTTTCCGCGATTGTTACATATCGTAACTAATTTTTGGGATCCTTAGACGCGGTTTACCGCGTATAATTCTTTTTTCCAACAAACCATGCTTCGGGCCTTTTTCACGTCTCAGGGTCAAGACAGAGATGGTAAAGTCATAACCAGTACCTTATCTTCTTCTTATCGTATCGATGGCATACACTATAATGCTTGCCTTCGTTGTGAAAGAATTTTCCAATCGGCGTAAGATACTTGTCGATTGTTGCCCAGGATGCGTCAGACGTACCTACAGGAAAGGAATGGTACGTCGTGCGTGGAGGCTCCTTTCGTGCACCCAGCACCTTATAATACTTTGGAAATTGAATACTTTGGTAAATTCAAAATAAGCTAGTGAAATTAATAACTTTTGTAAATTTGTTTAAAAATATTGGGTGATTCGCATCAATATTAGACATAACTTGATGACTTTACCATCTCAGTCAGTCGTAACCATGTGAGTTGTAGCAATAGAGCTCCTTGTAAAAGAGTTCGTCCAGGCAGGTATTGCTATCTTACCATATTACTATATGAGCATTACTGCGTTCCGGTTTCGAATAGTAAGGGTGCTGATGAAATTATAGGCATACAGGGCTTATCACCTTATGTCTCCCGGTGACGGGTGCATTGGAGTGCCCCACGGATTTTTGTGACGCTCTGAGCGGCATTGCAACTGTTATGGATAGGCGAGTCGTTTGACACCAGGCCCACAAATTGTTCGTCTCGTCACTTGATATTATAAAAAAAGGCCAAAACGTTGGTTTGTTTGAAAAAACAAATATTACGCGATTTAGATCTGAAAAATTAGTTTAATTTGTAAGGCAATCTCCACTGAGAATAACTATAAAGAAACTTATTGATTGGTTTTTTTAAGTGACAATAAAAAGTATTAATGCTTCAAGCTAGTTTGAAGCTTTGCAGTAATAATGGGACGGAGAGAATTTTATACTTTACATCGATATGTATTTGCTTCATTATTTAGTAGCAGTAGAGCTCTTTGTGAAAGAGTTCGTCCAGGGTAGTACTGCCACCTTACCTATTTCTGCCGCCAAGCAGTAATGTCAACGTTACTGTGTTTTGGTTTTGAAGATTAAGGGTGCTGGTGAAATTACAGGCACATGGGACTTGTCAACTTATGTCTCAGGATGACAGACGTAGTGGCAGTGACCCTCAGATCTTTGCAATTTAAAGCTCTGAGTGACACTGCTACTGTTATGGACAAGCGTGTAGCTTACCAGGCTTACTATCAGGCGCACGACTTGTTCGTCCCGTCATTTGATAGTATAATATATTATATCGACGATCTCGGTGGTCTAAAGGGTTGTACTAGGGGTGCTTGATGAGGAGGTACTGGCTTCGATTCCCGGTAGGATTAATTTGGGAAATTAACTTGTCTAAATTAGTTTTGAACCACGGGAAAAAATAATTGCCCATGGTCCACCTTGGTGGACATAGGTGAACCACCGGATGAAATAATTGCACGTGGTCTACTCAAGTGAACCAGACAGGTGGTCCACGGGCAAGAAATGATTCTGGTCTGTATGTTCTGTGGTAGCGCTCCGCGAAGAACTCGTGATACAAATAATTCCCCAGTTGAAGTCATAGTAATTGGTGTGGTAGTCGTGCACACTATTATTAAATATTATTACAGGCACATTGTATAATAAGCTCTTTTAATTGACTATTTATGCACTGACATTTCATTAATTGAATTAATTAATCACTTATCACCATTATTTTACGCATCGGTGCGTTTTTATGACTAGGTTAGATTGGGATGTAAACTAGTAATTAAATTAGTTTTTACGTTTACTAATTGGATACCGGTATTATATTGTCTGATAAATGTATATATTAATACTTCATTACCGTATTGTAAAAAAAATATACTTAGACGACCGTTTAAATCTAGTGGTCGGCGCTAGTTATGTAATTGTTTTATTAAGTCGTGCGCCAGGTGGTAAGCGACACGCCTGTCTATAGCAGTTTAAGCAGTGCCAGTCAAAGTTTTAAAATAAGTTTATATGTACAATAGTATCATAGTATCATACAGATCTAATATGATACTATGATACTATTGTACATATAAACATATGTTGCTAGATATATATATATATATATGTATGTACAACTTTACATTGTGGCACAAAGTTTATAAGAGTAGTAGGTAAGTGTAGATTCTAAGGGGTACGAATAATAAACAGAATATTCTACAACCATATATTAACATTAAAATTACTGTAACATGTTTGTGCGTTATTTTCAAGATATGTATTCTTAATTTAACTAAAAAAAATGTTAATAGTAAATGCGTAAAAGCATAAATATCTAGTTTCTTACTCATTTTTCTGAGGGGAATCAAATTTGTAAACTTTCTATTTATAGAATTGATTCAGCTGGTAATCGTTCATCGAAGTCCAGCTACTGGCCGCAAGATGGCAGCACTTTGAATAAAATTTCAATATAAAATCAAATCGTCATAACTTGCAATAGAGGTATGGAACATTCAACGGTATAGCGACTGGGTAAAGTTTAAATTACATTAACAAACCAGATATTCTTTTTAAACTAGAAACTATGACTAATCATTATCAAGATTTCGTAGTGTTTATCGTTTGTTTGTGAGCGTTTTGACGACAGCGGTTATGATAGTAATTGAGGCTTACGGCAATTCCATTGCTTTTTTCTTTCATGGCCACACCTCAGTAATAGTGTTAAATAAATGTGAATAGGGGAAAGGTGTACGAGATGATCCTTGGAGGTAAGATGATCCTTTTCAATTGTAGCGAAACAGGTAACGTCATCTAGATATTTTCTTTAGTAAAATGTAGGCCTTAATGTGCCCTCTCGTCAGTCAATTCGTAATAGCGATGTGAGTGACGAGTTCATTTTTGTGCAAAAGAACAAAAATTGTGTGAGTTAGATCTAATTGATTGATTGATTAAAACGTTAGGCAACTTCCGTTCTAAGCAATCAATTGCTAAGATTTTTGTGTTGGTGGCT